AAACCAGAAGTTTCTTTGAGGTTTATTTTCATTTCTGTGAGGCAGAGGCTCTCCTCACAGGAGTTCTCATGTTGAGAAGCTCTAATATATCTCACCCCACATCCCATTGTTCTGGGGAGATGCTTTTAAGGGTGACGATATCTAATAGACTTAGTGTGGCTGCACGTTAGAAGTATTTTCTCCACAAATAGGAAGATTAGGGGCATATCTAGTGAAAACAGAAGGGAATGTTCAGCTTACTGAGCACACACCATGGTCTCAACTAAGACACTATAGCAGAAGTCATTGCAAAGTCAGCATTTGCCGGTTGTTGCTGAGTCCCAGACTCCAGCAGTAGGTGACCTTATGGTGAACAGCAAATATAAACTGAAGCTCTGTCTTTCCATGGTATAAAGCTCTGGAAGGACAACAAGAGTTATTCTTTGTTTCTTGCATGAGAAAAAAGGTTACAGTGGAAGGTACAGATACTTCTCTCATCCCTCCCTTGTGCTAGCATATTGCTCCAAGGACATTAGAGAGATGGGCTCCATGAGCCATGATAGCAAATGCCAGGCATGCTGGGGAGGAATTGGATGCATCATTTGCTTACTTCTGGCACCTATTTGGATGCCTGGAGAGGAGCTGTGCCATTCCCAGTTTTCTCAGGGGAACTGTAGGTCTGTTCCTCTCTGAGCAGTACAATGTAGCCCTGACTTTAACATTATGAAAACTCTTTATAAAAAAAAAAAAAGATAAATAACTAAGATACTCTCATAGTTAGAAATTAAGCTACTGTCAAATACACCCATTTCTCTTAATCTAAGAATTCTTAACGGTAATTCTGGTTTTGGTTATACATGTGTTTGTCATCTTTTAACTTTGAGCAAATACAACTGAAGACAGGAAATATCCTTATTTAACACAATTTTTCAAGAAGGATTGATAGACTTCTCAATATTTTCATATATCTATGAGGTAAACATTTTTTTTGACTGATACCATTTCAAGAGAATGGCGCATCTCTAGCCTTTTCCCCAACAATGTCTCTACGTACTCTTTATAATACACTGTTCTACTTCTCAGGGTATTCTTTTATTAAGGACACTAATAACAAGAATAGAACAAACACATTTAGCTTAAGATTTCTTTTCAAATATGATAGTTTCTTTTCTTTTCCCTCCCTTTAGTGTGTCCTACCTTTTGCTGATATTTTTTAAAAAATGTACTATATTATGATATTGCTGTTTGATCATCTCAAAAATAATGGTTTGATGGACTTTACATTGGTCAGGTACTAAGAGGAAATGCTGTAAATCTGTTTTTAAAATTGGAATGATTCTTAAAATGGCATTATACTGTATCTTCTAACACCTAAGTAGAGAGGCAAATGAATTAGCTGAAAACATCACTAGGCTTATGCAGTCATATTGAAATAATGCTAAAGGCTGGAAACGTTCAATAGAATGTTCAATACTTTTTGCAAGTTTAGACTACGATAATATGGTCTATGTTTGTGTTTGTAAACATTTCAAAGAGCTGGTTCCAATTCTGAGCTTCTGGGTTCTCCATGGTATTTTAAATCCTGTTAAGGATTATGTGAATGTTTTGTTTCTTGTATTTTTCTTAATATATTTCTGGAATGTTTATAGAAAGTGATTTTGCTCTTGTTTAAGATTGCTTGGATTCATGAGGCTAGATCATGCAACCTGCTCGTGTAAGACACTGCATTTGCTTTGAATTTGCATATCATGAATTAAAGAGTGCAGTTTTTCTGTGTGTTTGAACCAAAGAAAATAATTTCCCTATTTCAAAGGATAAAATTGACTGCACAGATAATATCTTCTAAAGTTGCAGTTATGATCTTATCCTTTTATCACTTTCAAACATATTTGTACCATTCTCTTTTGTTGTATGGTTATAAACCCTGCAATTAAGCTAAAGTAGGAAAGTAATAGGAGCAATTGGATCCACAGTGGGCCAAATTTATAATTAATAGTGTTTTGCAAGGAAGTGGTGCTGCAAAGTCCATAGAAAAGCAACATAGCTATTGCTGCCTAATTCAAGATGTGGAGTTATATGATAGAATTTTTAATTGCTTTATTTAATGAACTACTAATAAAAAAAAGACCCTGTAAGCATATAGATGAAATATGGTTATTTAAATATGTTGGTTTACATATGTTTTGCTATGCTTAAATATGAATTAACAACATTCTATGTCATATTATAGGTTATGTCCTTTGAAGCATAGTAAAAAAACCTAATTTTTTGAACTGGATGCAGAATTTAAGTACAAGTCAAATACTCTGGATAAGGGTAAATACCTGGTGATTAGAAATACTTAGAAATGCTGATGGCAAAGTAACTTTTATTGTGAAGGAGTTATAAAGTATGTGAAATAAAATTGATTAACAGTAAAAATATAAATATTTATTTTAAATATCAGGAGATATTTTTTTAAGACAATTAACAAAGTATTTAAATTTCTGTACCAAGAAAAAAAAGTGGGTTTTTTTTCTGTCAAGGCATTTGTCATTTATTCGTTAGTGAGTTATACATATGTCAGCTAGGACATCAAATACATGCAATACTTAAGGTCTCTAGCCTGACTATGTAATCCATTCTTTAATAGGAATGTACCAAGTAAATATAGTATTCCTTTTGGAATATATGAATGTATATCTGAGCTATGTATCTAGTTAGGCAGGTTCTTTATATTGTTGTTCTGTTGTGCTGGAGATACTCCTGAGAAAGAGTTAAAAATTAAAAACTGTGTCGATTCACCCTTTCTTATGACTTTAACCAAAAAGCTACTAAAGTTTTAATATTGTTAAAATTTTAGTACCCTGGTACACATGATATGGTATAAACAGTAAGCTGTAGTTTTTCATAAGTATTGTTTAGTGGAATTTTGATTAGTGGAATTTTCTCAGTTGTTTTACTTAATTCTCTATCATGCTTTCGGTAGTGGGCTCAATTATCTTAGAGGTCTTTTCCAGTTTAAATAATTCTATGATTCTACATGGAATTTTCAATGAATAACAGAATCTTCAGAGTCTACGCAGTCTACTTTTTGAAGGCCCAGATATTCCTGCCATAGCACATTTAGGTGTTTAAAGTTGTGTATGTGTTTTAGTACCTTGTGAATTAGGATCTGTGAAGAAGAATTTACTATAGAACATGGCAGAAAGAATGGGACAGCTGAGTTATATGAACTTGGCATGATTTAATCACTGCTCTGATGCAAGAAAAAGGTTATTTTTAGCAGATTACTCTGTTGCCCAATAGATCTGGATTTGTCTGTAAACTGGGGAGGGATGGTCTTGTTTTGGAAATCCAGATGACAGTAAACAGCTGTTCAGGCCCCCACTACAATTTCCCAACAAAACACATAGGACTTTATTGTTCTTTCTAGTCTTCTTATCTGGGTGGATTTATGCCATAAATTAATAACTGCAGGCATCCAAGCTTGTACCACAGTCACTGTGAATAATTGATAGTGCTTACATGTTTTGATGATTTAGTATCTGGGCAAGCAAATACGCAGAATGTCGTATGTTTTTGAGGTAAAGATTTATTTAAAGACTGAAACTTATCTGGATCTTCAAAATGATAAATTTGGTACAAAAATATTTTAACAAAGAATTGTTTGTCCTTCTCTGTATCAAGTGTACTATCGTGTTCTAAAAACATGGTCATTCTAGGAGCAGAAAGCACTTAAATAAACACTATAAAAATGATATAATCTTGTAACAGAATCATTATACACCAGCTCCAGTGTTCAGTTCGGTACTGTGGGGTTTAAGGTCCAAGCAGTTTGTGTTGGTCTTTAGTTGATTGTCCACAAGCCATTTGTTGCACACTACTATTATCTGGAAAAAATACATATTCAGAAACAACTACCCTGCAGTTATTCTCTGAGGAAGAAGGATTCCACTCAATAATACAATAATCACTAGCTCTTTGGAACGTTCTAAAACTACTGTTATTAACTTAAGGGTATTCACTTGGAGTTTAAAGGTAAACTTGACCTGTTGGGCAGAGAAAACTATTCAATATTACCCAGTAACAATGAGGTTCATTTGGGGAAATAAAGTATTGCCTAACAGTGTGAAGATTCACCTAGGCTGCATCTCCCATGATTTCCTGATGTATCCCCTGTGCCTGGCTACAGTGCATTGGCTGGTTTTATCTATCGGAATTCTCTCCCTTTTTTTTCTTTTTTTTTATAATAATATTTGTATCTTGGACATAAATGTCTCTGAAGTTGAAACAGAGGGGTTTTCTGGGTGTGGGTTTTTGATGGTATGAAGAAAAAAAATTAATCAAGGTGACTTAGTCTTCTTCCTTCCCATGCCTGGATGTGTTCAGGGCCAGGCTGGATGGGGCTCTGAGCAAGCTGGTCTAGTGAAAGGTGTCCCTGCCCTTGGCAGGGGAGTTGGAACAAGATGATCTTTAAGGTTCTACCTTCCAACACAAACCATTCTCTGATTCTATTTGAGTTAAATCCAATCTGTCCCATAGATTTCCTGAGATGGAGTGAATTTTCATTTTCCATTCTCAGCTTTTTATTCTCATCCTTGACCATGATTCTACTATCAGTAGTCTAACGCATTATTGAAAGCACCACATCACAAAAAATGTGGTGGTTCAAGCCTGAAGGTTACTTGTACAATTATGCTTCAGTACTTTTTCTGATTAAAAGAGCTAATAAAACATTAACTTCTAAAATAAAAAGTTTCCTAGTTAGAGAAATGGTAATATAGGTTGTGAGGGAAGAAATTACTGTTCTCTGCCAGCATTTCTACTTGAAAGACACTATGGCGTTCAGTGTTTCCCATCCCTACCACCCAGTTTCCGACTGTAAATATTCTCCTGATAGGATGTTTCCATGTAATGTGTATGTTACTTTGCAGCAGTGTGAAAAAAATGGAAGCTTGAAAGATGTCTGTCATTTGCACTTTGCCTTAATTTATGTTACGTTTGCTAAATAATGTTAAATGTACAGTTTGGAGGGTTTTTTTTAAATGCTACTGCTTTCCAAAAAGAAGAAGCTAATGGTGAGAATGTGTATTCATCTCTGATTTGTCAGAGAGCCAGAAAGAAAAAATTACTTGTTTCAGTCATAAAAATGGTGCTGGGTTTGAGGAAGCAACAGACACTACACATGAAAAATTATTAAAATATATTTTGAAAGTAAACAAACAAAAGGAATGTTAAGAAAAAAATATTATTCTTACTAGGTAGCCTGAGTTAATTGTTAAAATACTTTCTAGTGCTAGGAAAATGCAAAGATAATATTCTAATTAAAGCCTCATCCCTTACCTGGGAAAAAGCATCTTTTGCTTGAAAGATGATTTCATGACCAGAAACTACATCCAGGTTAAAAGCCATCCAGATCAGCAGAATTTTGCTTCTGTTTACAGGCTTGGTGCTCAGCTCCATTGATGAGAGATCAAGTATTTTTTTGACAGGAAACTGTAAGTTATTGAATGCAAGTCAAGATTTGGTTTATACAAAACCATTGAAGAATCAGAAATACTTTTAAATGGTAGCAAAATAAACCCCAAAACCAAAAGAATAATATAAGTGCCATCCTGTGTCCCAGTTCTCATGAATGGTTCTCATAATGTTTTTAGGAATCCATATGTACCTCTAGAATAAGCTAACAGAGCACACAGCCAACAGCTAAAAGTAAAAAATATTTGATTTTACTGCTTTTTGGAAAAACTTTGCCATTGCACTTCTCATGTAACAGCTGTCATTAGAGTGTGGATATATCATAGAATTACAGAGTTGTTTGGGTGGGAAGGAAGCTTTAAAGATTGTCTGTTCCAACCCTCTGCCATGGTCAGGGCCATATTTCCCCAGATTAGGTTGGGTAAAGCCCCATTCAGCCTGGCCTTGAACACTTGCAATGATAGGGCATCCACAGCTCACGATCATGAAAAATATCTTCCTTACCTAAATCTACCCTCTTTCAGTTCATAACAGTTGCTCCTTGTCCTGTCACTACAGACTTTGTTAAAAAGTCTGTCCTAAATACTGAAAGATTGACAAATGGTCTCCCCAGAGCCTTCTCTTCTCCAGACTGAACAGCCCTAACTCTCTCAGCCTGTCTTCATAGGATAAGTGCTCCAGCCTTCTGACCATTCTTGCGACCCTCCTCTGGCCCTATTCTAACAAGTCCCTGTTTTTCTTGTGCTGGAGGATCCCAGAGCTGGATGTAGGACTCCAGGTTGGTTCTCGTGGGAGCAGGGTAGTGGTGGAGAATCACATATTTACAGAGGAAGTGCTAGGATCAGGTCTGAGGTATGAGTTTGATTGACACTTTATACGTGTCACAGGTGAATAGACAGAGAGATTAGGTAGGACTGGGGATTATCTGCAAGAATGAAGAAATCTGACCATGTTGTCACACAACTGCTGCTCTCAAAGGTTCCTCTGAAACTTTAGAGAGGGAATATGTTTAAAAGTGGTTGGTACCAGATAACTCATTCTCCTCACCACCCACTTTTCCTCTTCTCTTCAATGGTAATATTAGAGACTGGTTTAAAAGAGAAAAAGGAAATATTAAATAATTTTATAATGAATATAAAGTATATATGCTAATGCAGAGCTGTAATAGTGAAAGACTCAAAATGGAAATAAAGGGTTTGGAGAAATTATTTAAAAGAGCAATTTAAACAGCAGCTACTACGGATGTGCAGCTACTAGTGAAAGCAGAGAAATTGGTAAAACTGTAGAACAGAGCGTCTGGAGAAGGAAATACATTTTTTGAAATTTATTTTGTGGATATTGCAAAGTGAAGAGCTTACTTATATTTATAGACTGCAGAAAGGTTCTCAGTTTGGACTGATCAAGAGCTAATCAGATCAATGAGCCAGTCCAAGAACTGCATACTGAATTGAACTGGCTGCTCAAACCAGCAGCTGCGTACATTGTACTACAAGAGCTATATGCTTCAGTAAGAGCCTTTCCAACCCCATATGAAGTTAACTGAATATCCTATTTCAGGAGAAGAGTCTGTATCTGCAATCCAGAGAAGGTAAAGGAGCTCTGTTGCTCGCAATAGATAGGCTGCACCACTTGCATGGGCACCTGCAATGATCTTTTACAATGGCATAGAGAGCAGATCATATTTTCATATCAAAAGGGGAAAATAACCTTTGGTCATAAACTGATACCCCAGTGTGCAGATACTTGTGTCAGTGTTTGTCAAAGTATTCAAAGCTCCTATATTTGACTCAGTCAAACTAAGAGCTTGAATTAGAAAATCCTCTGATATACTTTTACTGACACAAGAAAAATCATATTATAAGTCACTTTTTTGTACAGATGGCTGCTTTAAGTAATTATGTGTCATACATAATAAAGTGCTGCTGAAGATTGTTCTTGTGAAGTAATTTTTGTTATCTTTATTTCACTGACTACCAAAAGGGTAGTCAGTTGTTCTTTGGCTCAAGGTCTGCACACTACAAGATTTCTGGATATGTGGGGCAACTCTCCAATGCTTATGAATTTCAAGGGAAAAAAAACCTACTTAACCTTTCATCTACAGCCCTTCTGATGCACATGGAGGGCTATAGATGATAGTTCTTGTTACATAAAGATGGCATAGTAGTGTTGCTGGAGAAGAAGAAAAGAACGTAGTTTGTGTGTACCTATGCACGTAAAGATACACATGCATGTTGATGTATGGATATGGATGTTTTGAAGGAAGAATGGTTGCTGAAACTAGAGTTCTAGTACATGTCTAGTCTGTATTCCTAGAGGAAAGCAGACAGAAGCTAGGTACGTGCATTGTATATACATTAACATTGTTTGGTTTGCAATAGCCTCTGAAATTAACCCAGCCTTCTTCTTTAATAGAACTGTGATTAATATTGGGTTATCTGAACCTGCAGGTACAGCACTACTGGTTTAGTCAGTGGGAATCCTAGAAAGGTGTTTGTAAGGCAAACACTGTAGCTACAAGCTCTTTGCATTCCTGTCCAGGTAGAGTATTGTAGCATTAATGAATAGAAGATCACTTAACTTTTTAGAGATGGAGGATTAAGGACTCTGTAGAGCCTCTGTTGCTCAGTATAGTTTGAAAGTCTACATTTAGAAAATTTTCTAAGGAATTATCAAATCATAATTGTTTGGGATATACAGTTTTTCAAGTGTTGAAACCCAGCAGAAGGCATTTTTTACTAAGTCAGTTCAAGTTGCAGTGCAAAATAATAGTGAAAGTTAATGTATTTCTACAAAGATATAGCACTTGGAAAGAAGTGCCTGTGAGAGAGATTTCTAGGAGTTTGTATGTGAACCCTTCAAGATAAGTCCTACCTCCTTCAGGAGCTTTAAATATAATAAAATAAAAAAAAAAAAAAAGAAAAAATCCAGTTACAGAGGCAAACTTCCTCTCAGAAAGCTCTTTACAAAACCTACGAACTTTTCTCTCCTATCCTGATATCTTTAAATCTGTTCCTTTGACTCAGCAAAATCCTACAAGAGACTCCAGCCTTTTCACAGAGGTTCAAAAGAGCCTTTGCTAAGCCAGAATGTCATAAATGAGTCTTGTCTTGGAGGCTCTGAATATGATTTAGGTGTCCTCTCTTTAGGCTGCATTTTTCCCTAATGAAATTTCATATTATGTTGGGCTAACTGGGATGGATCACATTTGACTATGTTCACCCTGCCAATTCTACTAAGCTATGAAATGTGGGTTATTATGTGAAAGTAGCATTATTATTCTATTATGCCTTTTTTTTTTTTTTTGGTAGTAAAATGCTTACAAATGTATCAGGGGTCTTGCATAAGAAACTAATATTTGCAGATAAAGGAGGCAATAGTTTTAATATTTAATGAACAATAAAGAAAATTTAAACAAGAAAGCAATATAGCTGCACTGTTTGGGAGATACACTTGCATTTAGTTAAAAAAACTATACTGGTGAAGAAAGAAATCATTCTACTTAGAAGGAAAAAATCTCATAATTTTCACACGCTTGGTTCAACTCAGGTTAATCTTTTTAGTGAGATGTGTTATTTTTCAGACACTGAGAGCATTGCAAATATGTCATAAGCCATGCTACCTTAGCAATTACATTATAGAATAGTAGGATGTACTTCCCTATGGTTTTGAAGAAAAGCTTCTCAGCGGAGCATCCACAATGGGGGAAAATACTCAATACTCTAATCACAATGGGGTTACAGGTAGTGACACTCCGGTGTGAACCACAGCCTGTTTGCTTACCTCAGCCTTTAAAGCCAGTAGATCTTCAGTACCTGGCTTCAGAACTAAATCAATTCCCTGTGACATTCCTATTTCTGATGTTCTGAATGCAGAGGCACAGTATTTATGGCTCTGGTTTTGAGATCTCAAGCTGTGTAGAGGTTCCCCAAGGCATCTTTTCAGTGACAAAACACTGCTTTGTGGCTCTGGTTCCCATTGGGTTTGTGAAAGGGGAAGGAAAAGGGATTTATTACAGTTACACCAACTTATATCAATACAAAGATGCCTTTTTAAGTGATCTTGGGTACTGTGTTATGTCCCCTGAGGTACTGAAAACACAACCATAGCTCTGTATGAAAGTATGGATTTTTGAAGAAAACTCCATAGAGAAGGAAATGAAATGACTTAAAAACCAGATTGATGTTTGGAGTTTTGCATCTTCATTTGTTCTACTTTTGCACATATTGCAACCCCTAGTGAAAGTCAGTGTTCATGTTAACAGTTTGAATCCCTTTAAAGAAAACCACAAAAGTTTCCATTAGCGCTCTTCCTTTCTCCATCTCACTGTTACATGGTCAGGGTCAGCCCCTGCCCTCATCCCAGTTTAGGTTTCTATTATTCTGTTAGTGGTATTTTGTATTTTTCACATCTATCACGTGCCTTTTCTCTCCATCATCCCTGTAGGGCTCAGTGCACACAGGTTGTCTCTGAAATGAAGCTGTCAGCCTTTCCCTGACTTTCATCCGGGACTACTCAGATGAGCTTTTCTGAAGAACCCTAAATCATGCTTTCCAATTTCATCCAGATTTGTTTTTCCCTTCCTTGATTCTGTCCCTCTTTAATTTCTAGTAAAGCAATTACTAGTTCTGATGCACACACCAGCTTGATGGGGCCAAAGTCCAATGGGACCCAGAGGAGAGATGCTGTCTTTTGCACCTTACAGGCTCTGATCTAGAATCTTCCTTTGACATCACAGAAACTGTTGTAGGAAGGTCAGTGTTGGGAAACCCGGTCTGAATTACATATTTACACTCATGTAGCCTGAGTCACTTTATTTCATTATTTTCACTTGCTTCTCTCTGCACCTCATGTTAAAGGTTTAACAGTTTTCACTTTTGAGCGATAAAGTAATGGTTGATGGACAATAATGGAAAAAATAATGAACTACCTAAGAGAGGATGCCTTTCAGTAGTGTTCTTGAATCAGGTATGGAACAAAAACTAAAACCCACAGTATTTCAAGTAGAAATTCAAAAATTTTAGTTTCATGTGCTAGCTGTGGCTAATATTTTTGCTTAATAGCGGACTACATATTTCATGAAATGTTTTACTCTATTAGTGAATAAATTACAGGTACTGTAGATTCCTCTTTCACTCATTGTAATTGCAGGTTGCAGACATCTAAAAAAATAAATGGGTGTAAATAGCAGGTAAAAGGTGAGTCAAAACCAATTTACAGGAGCAAGGTAAAGTCAAACTCACATTTTATCTCATAGTGTGGTAGATTTTACCCTAAGAAATCATTCGCTGATCTCTATATACTTAATGTGCTTGTATATACTTATGAGTCTATACTTACATACCCAGAGGAAGCTCCCAGGAGACATCATAGGACCTTACAGCCTCTAAGGAGGGGCTACAAGACAACTTCAGAGGGACATTTTACAAGGTCGAGTAAGGACAAAGGGGAATGGCTTTAAGAAAGGGCACAGGTTTAAATTAGATATTAGGAAGAAATTCTTCACTATGAGGGTGGAGAGGCACTGGCACAGGTTTCCCAGAGAGGCTGTGAATGACCGTGGAAGTGTTCAAGGCCAGGTTGGATAGGGCTTTGAGAAGCCTCACCTAGTGAAAGGTGTCTTGGCAGGGGGACTGGAAGGAGATGGTCTGGAAGGTCCCTTCCAAGCCAAACCATTCTGTGTACATTTGTAAATGTACAGGCATATATTTAGGACATATAAGTAACTTGCACACAGGTAACAGGCACATGCCCAATTCCTAAGTAGTATCATTGAGCTGGCAACACAGCATTCCCCATGAATATATTGACTAGGTTGAAAGCTCTGTGCTGCACCTGGCATTCAGTGACTGGCACAATTGCAGGGTACCTTAGACTTGAGTTTTTTGTTTACCTGCTCATGTCCAGATGAATGATTTTTTTCATCTCCTACTCTAGTATTCATGACAGATGGCTTGTTTGCTCATCTTGCCTATATATTGATATACTTCTCAATCAAGAAGCATTTTATGAGGCAAGGAGAGACAATGCTTTTTCAAAGCACAGCATTTCCTAAACAAAATGAACAAACGCAGGATCACTGTAGGGTATTGACGTGCAGTTGAACCATGCGTTGCACAGATGTGCAGATACATCTCCACAGCTCCACCAACTCTCCAAGCCAACAGTGAGACAGTGGCACTCCAGAGGCTGTGCATATATTTGATTCAAAATAAATGTACTCTGCATTACTGTCCAGGGGAAAAGGAAAAACTACTGATCTTTTTTTGAAGTGAATATACTCTGAGTTTTCTTTTCAAGGAAAGCATTGTTATAAGAGAGAAGAGCCACTGATAATTCTTTTGCTAGTCACATTATGAAAGCAGCTCTTAACACTGTCATTAAGGGAAGACAAATACAAGTATGAACACTGCCATGCTGGCGCTCAGCAGCACCAGTCTGGAAAAATACACAGACCTTATTTCAATCTTCACTGTTCTAGTGTTATTTAGTTCATTTAATCAAATAGTTGAATTCTGGATACATAACACTACTTGAAGCTAATATATTTGGCAAAATGCTGGTACAGCCTGTTCAAAATGTTTTAAGAAGTTAAGCGCTCAAAGGGTATATAAAAGGCCATATAATTAAATGGGTACATAAATTAGATTTAAGAATATGTAGCTCTACAGGTTTTGGATTGCTTGTTAAACTGCTGCTTCCTCTGTTAATTAAAAGCTCCCACTGCCAGTTGTGTCTCAGTTTTATTAAAATGCTCTGCTGTTTGGAATCTCTCCATGAACAAATAAATATAAGCATTGCTCACATATAAAAATTGGGGTGCGTACGTACATTAAAAAAATACCTTTTGGTAAGATAATTCTTTGCCTACTAATCTACCACCAAATACTAATCTAGTAGTTGTTTCTGCTCTTAAATTGCTTTCTTTTAAAATCTCACCAGTATAGTCTGATGCAGGATTCCCTATAGGAATATCAGATACACACATTTTTGTTAAGAATTTTGTATCAGGTATTTTAGAACTGCAACATGTTTTAAGCATTTTTAAAGTGTACATAGTTTGTGTATCACAAATATAAGTAATTTTCTTATTTTTTCTGCAGAATATAGAAGAATAAAAGTAGACTATTACTCACAGTAACAAGCTACTGTGTTACACATAAACACTCTAGGCTCCAGAACTCATCTTTTCAGGTACATTCATAAAAGTATGACAGCTGGGGGGTCTGGTTTATGTTTAGTAAAACACATGGAGACATCCAGCCTTTTCGGCGATATGAGTGATTTGTGTTTCATATTCACAAGAATAGGAAAATGCTCAGTTGCTGAGCAAAGGCCATGGTGCATCATACCTCATACGTGGTGGAAAAGGGTGATCCGAAGATGGTGTTTATTGTAACATAGTGGTGTTATTTATGATTAATAGACCTCTCATTTTTTTTGTGTGAGTGTGGCTGCTGTTTTACTATTTTTTCCCCGGGTGTCTCAGCTGGAAGATAAAAGTCATCTGGGAAGTCAGTGGAGATAACAAGAACGCTAATATCCCAGGTATATACCAAAGTATTAATAGAAACATACTGTAAGCTTAGGTCTGTCCTTCAGTTACACCAATGGTGGTACAGATGAACCTGTATAAACACAGTGATCCTGATGTCATTTTATCTACCTATTAGTAATTTTATTTAATGCTTTCAGAATTTATTTTTTTTAAAAAAGGTATAGTATCATCCTCCCACACTCACAAAATACCTTGCTTATATCTTACCACTATGGGGAACTGTACTTTCAGTGATTACAAGTTTGCAATTCAAAACCTGAATCAAGGGGGTCTCTGCCAAAATATTTGCAATACAGTCTGAACAGCACAGAGATACCTCCTTAGACTTAATAGAAGACACTTCACGTGGTTGCCTTAAATACAGTGACATAGAGATTAGTTGGGCATTTTTAATTTTCCTGGTGAAATTCACCTACTACATTTAAGATTTTCAAACTGAGGATTTTGCCATTTCCAGGGGAGTTCCTTGACCAAGTAAGTAATTTATTGCCTCTTAAAAAAATGATTTTAATTCCTTGGTGGAATTACCGTCTGATTTTCTTTCTCTGAGGATTTATTCATAAAACCAAAAACCAAAGTCATTTAAGGCAATAGATCAATCTCAGTTACACTTCAAGAAAAGTGTAATAATTTTCTAGATGGGAATAAAAAGTCCAGTTCTGGCCTGATGTATTCAGACATGCAAATAGAAGTGAAATTTCTGGGAATTAGGCATACAACCAAGGGTAGAGCTTGGTCCCACGTATTTCAAGACAGAGTTTACAAAAATAACTCAGGATTTTCAATCTGCTTGCTAATACTGAACTCATAACCCTCTGTCCCTCTAAGCTCAGGTGCATCTGCTGTGCTTGCTTGTTACTTAATGGTGTCCTGAAAGGCTCCGGTACCTTAATACTGGCTGACATATAAATGTCTTGATAGGTAATGGGAGAGAGACCCTACTTTGCAGGTTTAGTCCTGATTGTCACACATGCTAAATCAAATACTACAGAGTGGAGAAAAGGAGATAAAATTGCCTTAAAAATCCTGAGACTTTAAACCAGCAAAATATATACTTCCACATATGTGTATTTGAAAAAAACACCTCTTAACTTACAAAAATACACATATTCACTGTAAAAGTTAGCATCCATTGTGTCCTGTTGCATCCCAAGCCCTGTGAACAAAGTCTAGCCCTGTTCTGTACCATTGAGGTAACACCTGGACTGCAGGTATGTGATCATGAGTGGCAGAGGACTGAAATAAAGAGCCTCTTGGAAGAAGAGAAAAAGGTTTTGAAGTAGCTGTGAGAGTAATTTTAGCAGGATAAGGAAATCAGTAGGAGAAAATGAAGAAATCTTCTTATATGGAGGCATTTTTGTCTCATACAGCTTTCTCAAATTTCCTAAGTCCTATCTTTCAGAATAAGGAGTGAGGAGATGTGTTTTTTAAGAATTAGTTATTTAGGAAACTGAGTCCACTTAATGAAAATGTAATGGGCAGTCCTTGTGGCATAGCTGTTTCAAATGACTCTGAGGGTCATAATTTCTTTTTTTTCATAGATTCCCCATGTTCTATTTTGATATTTCATTGACTTTGATGTAGGAAGTGTTGAGCAACTCCCCAGTTCTCATTACAGTTAAAGTCCCCGTGATAGTTTGTGCAAAAACGCACAGATATCATCACAAATCCAATGTGGGAATCACAAAAAAACCTCCACAACTCAGCCACAAATTTTCAAAGGGGTTTTGGATGAACAAAGTACAGGAAAAAAGAGCTTTATTTATGAGAAATTCATGATCTTCTGGGACCTGGCATCCCTTTCCATGTACTTTACTCTGGTTTGCACATTTCTGGACAGTTAATGATGAGAAGTTTTCTATGTGAAGTATTAACATAATTACTGTCTCTCTTCTTGTTAAAATGGCATTTTTTAATAATGTAGTATGTGAAATAAGCTTTTAATAATAACTGGAAAGGCCTTGGAAAGGAATTTAATGAAAATTTGGGCTGTCAAGAAGTATTGTCAATCTCTGATTGTGTCACATCTCTTTAGTTACTCTTTGAATGGCCTCTTATAGGTGTCTAAGTGAACCTAAATTTTGCTTTTAATTTATCCTCACAGATAAGCACATACAAATAAATATTTTTAGTATTTTAATCTATTCTAAACAATATAATTCACAAAAAATAGCTTTACTGTCTTGTGTTGTAAACCTTATAGAGAAAATGCTAGCTATGGTGTAACAGATGTTATTCTACTGTAAATAATGGTTTTAATTTGACAACAGAAGAAATTTTAGTTTCCAGGTAAACCAGAATATATGAAATATTTATTTACCAGGACATGTGCTGGAAGAAATGTAGGGAAAGCCAAATTCACTCACAAAATTTGAAGGAAAAAAAAGCATTTAGCACTCAAGGAAACAACTCCATAAAAATTAGAAGTTTATATCCAGGATCTTTCCGAAATTTCACCCCAGAGATTTGGTTTTCTTTGAAATTATACATCACTGTCCAGGACCTTAATTATGTTGTTTCATAATCTTATATGTCTCCTGTCATCTTTATTATAGACTGTACCTCCAAAGACAATGGTGTAAATTATTTTGGGAAATGAGGTTCAAAACCAGTAATACACTGAGTAGGAAGGAATACTGGAGAGTTTCCTGTAGTAACAACCATACCAATCAGTGCAATTGGCTCTGACACAACAAAGAAGATATGTTGGAACAAAATGGTTCCTGCTGAAATCCACTTCCACATAAATTCTCTATAATTTCTCTGAGAGTACCTAAGACCTTTTCTCCATAGGTTACAGTATCTTCCATCTCTTATAAGCCCTATGTGCTTTAGTACATAAATATTTGGTTATTGTAACCAAGTGGGAGGCAGAATTGTTTGGAAAAAAGGTTTAAATTCACATTTTTTGAATATTTTCTGTAGAATTTTTTTTTCTGTAAATATGTGAGTGAGATACTCTTAATAAAGGACAGTTTTTCAATTGATTTCTGTTTGTTTCAGAGTCATCCTTTGAATTCAATGGTGCAGTAAGACATTACCTAACACTGGTGAATTACTGGTAGACAGACCTGCAGATCCTGCAGGTTATACTTCAGGAGGTGTGTAGATATATTTAGTAGCAGAAAGATAGGCAATTCAGGTAGTTCTAAGACACAAACTGGAATATTCCTAGAACAGAGAAAAACTGAACAGGAGTAGTACCCACTATCATTATTTTAATGATAGAATCATAACAGTTGGAAAAGAACTCTGAGATCATCGAGTCCAACTTTTTGACTAAACACCACCCTCCCAACTAAACCATAGCACCAAGTACCACGTCCAGTAATTTCTTGAACACCTCCAGGGATGGTGACCACCACCTCCCTGGGCAGCCCATTCCAATGCTTAACTACCCTTTCTGTGAAGAAATTCTTCCTGATGTCCAACCTGAACATCCCCTGGTACAGCTTGAGGCCATTTCATCTTGTCCTGTCCCTTGTTATCCGCGAGAAGAGGCCGACCCCCACCTTACTACAACCTCCTTTCAGGTAGTTGTAAAGAGCAATAAAGTCTGAACCTCCTCCAGGCTCAACAACCCTAACTTGCTCAGTTGCTCCTCATAGAGCTTAGCCCCTAGACCCTTCACCAGCTCTGTTGCCCTTCTCTGGACTTGCTCTATCACCTCAATGTCTTTCTTGCAATGAGGGGCCCAGAACTGGACACAGCACTCGAGGTGTGGCCTCGCCAATGCTGAGTACAGAAGGACAATCACTTCCCTGGTCCTGCTGCCCATATTATTCCTGATACAGGTCAGGATCTCATTGGCCTTCTTGGCCACCTGGACACATGCTGGCTGATGTTCAGCTGGCTCTCAAACAGCAACCTCAGGTCCTTTTCCACCAGACAGCTTTCAATGACAGATTAATACCAAATAACTTCAGTAGATCATGATATCTCTTTCAAATACTGTGGTCTCCTTTATTTATTTATTTTCAAAAATTCCCAGATCCAAATCAAACTAATTCCAGAGTTGAAGATAACTGTACCCCACCTGCCTTCATATCTGCATCTTTGCTGTGTCATTTTGTAGTTTTAGTTCCTTTGGTGTTCTAATTTGGGAAAATATAACTGGGTCATAAGTAAGTGCTCCAGTCCTCTAGTTCAAAAAATAAAACCTTTTTTCTTCAGAGAAGTACATGTAGTAGGTTTACAGGAAACTTTTAGGTATATTTATTTATTTATTATATGGGTATACATATAAATATGTACCCACAGGACTCAGGGACTAAACTGGATAAACACTTGAGTCTGTCTCGTGCTTTATAAGTGTCAAAAATCCCTTTAATATGTTCTCCCTTCATTTAACTCCTGATTTGTCTTTGCCTTTCAACACTTTTACATCTGTTTCTCCATCTGCCAGTGCTCTTACAGAAACAAAAACCCAGTTGTCTGACTTTAAATGCCGTGCAGAGATCAGACACAATGGAAGTTGGTCAAAACTTGAGTGCTGGCTGCAGTTGCAGCTCAGGAAACATGAGGCCACATGCTGAGCACTAACTCCACAGTGCTGTCTTTGGGGCTTGTTGGGACTCACTTTGGTTTGAGTTCATTGCAGCTTGTTCCCTTGTGTGATAGCAATTGTCTGTCTGTCAGACTATTACCTGCCTTGTTTAAGCTTATCTCTGCATACCAAATGTAGTCAAGGTCTAGCAAATCCGTACAGTCTCTGCAAAAGAAAGTTAAAAAACCTTTTCTGATAACTGGGGCTGTAGGACACTGTTTTTTATCTGTTACAGTGAAGTGATGAGGACTCAGTGGGGGGAAAAGGACAAATGAGCAAACTGCTTGAAGAAAGCATGAAAAAATAGCCCTGGACAGATCCAATACTGAAGAGAAAGAACCCCCACTGTTGCAGTTCGAGGGGTTTCTGGGGGGTCACTGCCGGCCACTCTGTGAAGGTTTTCAGGGCTGGAATCATCCCCCGGCCACCTGTCCCTCGTGGCAGGGACAGGCGGCGGAGGTACTTAACACCAGGAAACAAAACCACACAGCACACAGGAGTCCAGCAGCGAAGAAGAACCTTTATTCAAATTTCCCACAGCTTATAAAGGCTGCTGGGCCAAAGTGGATTGGCCATTTGGCTAGCCAGTGCAAGGAGACAGTATAATAACTATGGCAACACAGAAACCAATGGTAGACAAGTGAATTAAGAGCTTCCAAACCCGACACCCCACCATATATGTCACACTCCTCCCAGTGAAGCCCTCAGGATGCTACTAATAAGCTGATGTAATACCTTCCCCTCCAAATTTCTTGATGGGCATTATGGATTTGGGACCCAGAGGGTCACTCTCAAGGATGAGTGTAATAGTTAAGAAAAAGGGTAGGTACCTGAAAGTAAATAATTAAAAAAATATTAATAATGAGAATTTTTTTCTGTATTCATTTGAATGGGGACTTAGCAGCACTGTGATTGGGCCAATAGCAAATACTCATTTTGACTTAACTGTCAAGACCTTGGAGTATCCATGTGTACTTGGATCCACTTAAAATTCTTGTTCCCCTTCATCCATAACAAGATCTTCAAGTGTAATACTGTAATGTTGCTGATTCATGTGATAAACCAACAAACTTTGAAGTTATGATTGAGTTGCCTAAACATAAGATGTCTAGTATCTTTTGACATCACTTGCTGTGTCTGAGACATCCACTGTAGAACACTGACACAGACCTCGAAATAGATTGATGCTGTACTAGAACTCGGTGGGGAAGCTGACTGGGATACCCAAGGATGTCTACAATGGAATTAGGTGCAGCTGTCTCAGGAACTGCATTGCATTCTTCATGGCATGTTATGTAAAGGCACAATCAGGAAAGCTAAGTCTTGCAAAGACTTAATATGGGATTTTAGCTTCCCATAGTTCTTGATGTGCTATGCATCTCACTAGGGAGCTTTACAAAGCCACCAACTTTCCCAATCCAGCTCTTCAGAGCTGGCCAAAGACCAAGGAAGCATAGAGGAGAAAGAATGGAACAGAGAAAGAAAACCCAAATGCATAGACCTGAGTTTTTGTCTTTTACCATGTCACTGAAATAGATCCAGAGAAATCTGAAATCTGGCAGAAAAAGAACAAATCCTCTTTTTTTTCTTTCTTTTGTTCAAAACTTTCAACTAACTAGCTCTACAAAAACTTAGAAATGCCCAACCCCAGGATTCCCATTGAAAGAGTGTCTGTTTATTTATGTACTCCTCCATCAGAGGTTTCCTTTCCTTGCTGAGAATCCAGCCTGTGCCGATTCATCCAGCAGGCTCAGCCTGTACAGCAATGGACGGGCACAGGGGAGACATCACTCCCCAGCTCTGGTTCCTGCCAGCTTCCCTGTAGCTGATCAGCCTAAAGGCATAACCATGTCTCTCTGCCTTATTCCTGTCTGTACACAGATAACAGGCTCTGGATCACAGGGCTTTTAACAACTAAGGGTCAATAAATTTCATACAGCACAAACCATGACAGTAACAGGGATACTGCCTGTGTATATCTTTTCCAAGGGCTGCCTATACAAAGCCCTTTGGCGATTAACAACCACCGTTAATGTCCCCTGTCAGGAATTTTACCGCTTTGACATCGAGCACTTTGGCCTTCAAACAATTCTGCAAAAAAGTTCAGAGCAGAGTTGGCTCTGTCAAAGCGTGAATCATTTTCTGATTTGTTTTGTCCTCAAGAAGAATTAATGTCTCTTGCTTCCCTTCTCGATGCCTTACATTCCCTAAAGAAGATTGTGCAGCCATTTAAGCACTAGGTTATCGGTGCAGAGAGGAAATGAGGAGCAGCACATTCCAGGGAGAGCATCAGCATGCTTTCTGGATGGATTCTTCAGAGGAAGATCCAACTACAAAATCAGTTGCTGGACACATTTTTTCTTCATAGCATCTGCATTTCTCATTCTCATCATCTAACCCTTTTTTTTTAAACTTTTTTTTTTTTTTTAAAATGTGCTAATTTAAGGAGCCCTGGTAAAAATTTTAAGTAGCTCAGAAATAATAAAAAAAAATCAGGTTTGGGAGAAAGAAATTTTCTGTATTTTTCTACTACCACAATAAGTAACCAGAAAATTCTGTGGGCAATTTTTCCTCAAGAGAAGAAGAAAATAAAGCTTTGTCCTTTGAGAAGTATATTCATGACTCAAAAATAAAAGTAACATTGGGCTTCAATATTGTATGAAGGCACAGGAAAAATCTCATCTTAGTCTTCTACTGTTGTATTCACTTACGTTATACCCCTGAATGAAAACTGTTCATGATTATATTTCCTTCTTCCAACAAAAACATTGTGTTCTTTGAGAACTTTAAAATGTTTTTTTTAAAACACTGTATTAATTTTAATCACTCCCAGCAATATAGATGGAGAGATCTATATCCCTGCAGATACATATGTTGAAATTTATGCTCAAGCATTCAGTGAATTTTAATGTAGTGGTTTAGAAACCGATTTCTGTAACTGAAAGAATAATCAAATTCTTTGTAAGTTGAATAGTCCACAAATAGTCCACTTTTATGGACAACTTGGTGTAATTTGCAATCTATGGTTCAAAGTGTTAGTTACTGTCTTCCACTATTTTATTAAGAACAATTGTGGACTGGACTATGAAAGATAGTACACATGCTGGCAAAAATAAAACTATAGGTCAAGAATTTTTTAATATAAAATTTGGAATGTTTGACCATGGATAGATGTCAGAAGAGACGAGTAATTTTTTTTGCTTAAACCAGATAAAACCTAGTTCAAAATGAGAACTAGGAAGATAACACATGGCAGCTATTTGCCCAGACATGCAGCTTAAAAGCAGAGATTGGTATATACCACAAATTTCAGAATTCTCTACCATCAAATAGGCATGTCACTTTGTGTAATCCAAAATACTGGGATTTGAGGTGATGGGGGGTACATGAGTGAAGCCTGTTTGTACTAATAAGGATATACATAAGCTATAAGTTGCAGTAAATGATGTGGCTAAGAGTGTTAGGAGAAGCGCTCAAGTGTTTAGGTAGGAACTGTTAAAACTTTCAATGATAAGGTCTTCTGAGTAGAATCCTGCTAGGAATGGTGTTCCTATAAGAGTTAGGTTCCCGATAGTTTGACCTGAGGTAGTTTTTGACAGTGACTTTTGGAGACTTCCCATTTTTCAAATGTGTTGTTCACCATAAAGGTTGTGGATGATAGCCCCAGAGCAGAGGAATAGTATTGCTTTGAAAAATACATGGGTTGAGATTTGTAGGAAGGCCAACTGGGGTACATTTAATCCAACTGTTACTATTACTAGGCCTGGTTGGCTTGATGTACAGAGGCAATGATTTTTTAATATCATTTTGGGTGAGGGTGCATATAGCAGCAAATAGTGTGGAGAGGGTGCCTCTACAGAGGCACAGGGAGAGGGTAGTTGGGTTGTTGCAGAATATGCAGTGAGTACAAATAAGTAAAAAAATTCCAGCTACTACTGTGATGCTGGAGTGGAGTAGGGCAGACACTGGAGTGGGGAATTCTGTAGTGGCTGGAAGTTACGGATGAAGGTCAAATTGAGTGGATTTTCCTGTGGCAGCTAGGCCTAAGAGAGGGAGTGAAGGGGCTTGGTCTGGGAGGGTAATTGTTGGATTTCTCAGGTATCTGTTGAAGAGGCTAATCAAGCTATGCAAAGTCCAGTGTCTCCAATACAGTTATAAAGTATGGTTTCCAAAATACTGTTTCTTATTTACACATTCTGAAATATTAGATCCCCGGATGCAAAACACGTCTTAAAAATTTCCATCATTTACTGCTTATCTAATATATCATGTATTAAATATAAAATTACATGTATTTATATGAATTAGATATTTATTTTAATTCTGTTTTTGAATGAAAACGAAAAAAATATTTGGACTCATCTTGATGATTGAAACTCATGTAATACCTGACAAAAACAGGGTGCCTGTAGATTCCCTTTGTTTGACTGGCTTGACTGGAACGAAGACCAAGCATAAACACCTTATTTCATAAACTTGAAAAATGCAAGTGCATCCATAATTTCAAAACAGTTTTGCAATTTATGTTTTGCTAATGATTTTTAATAATATGAGAAAAAGAAAAAGATCATGAAATCATCATCTTTGATGATGTCAGGAGATGCTGGGAAACTGGTACCCATGCATGGTATTTAATGGTGCTTGTCATAGAAATGCTGTTAAATCAGTATAATTCTGCTATGCAACCACCTCTTGACTATGTTGCTGTAGTAAAATAACAAAAGTATTTGTCTAAGATTCTTCAAGAAATTTCACTGTAATTGGAACCAGAGAATCACAGAATAGGTTGGAGGGGACCTTACAGATCATATAATTCCAACCTCCCTGCCACGGCAGGGACACATGATTGTGAGGTGTTACTGCTAAAGACTTTGTTGTATTTCAGCTGCCCCTGAACGAATGTTCTTACATAAGATTATTCTGTTTTCTACAAGCTGAAATGCTAGTTTCCCAAATCCGTTTCTTCCAGATGCATTGTCATCTGTAAATAATGCAAAAGGTGACACTTGCAAAATTCAAATTCTATCACATCACCATTTCTTGTGGAATTTATTTATCTGAAATACACTTTCTTTTGCAACTGCAATTGGAAATGGTCTTCAGATTTATGTGGCAACAGGTGATGAGGCAACAGGCTTTTACTCATTCTTTCTCAGTTTTGAAGTTGGTACCACTTGCTTTCAAAAATAAAATTAAGAAATTATAGTATTTCATGCTGATCATTCACTCTTAACAAAACAAGTCTGACATGCGTTGGCTGCTCTTAACATCACATTATGCCTGTGACAGGGGAAGGAACTGACTTCATGTGTCAGACTTAACGATGCATTCAGCTTAGATATACGCTGTAAGTTGTCAGAGCACTAGTAGAACACTAATGGCAACTTTCCAGTATTAAATTCAGTTTTTTGCAAGCATTTAATCTGCTCAATCAG